AAATGTAAACCAGTATTGGTATCTGGTAAGACTGACAAACAAGAAGAAATTTTATTTTGATAATTAATGGCTAGGGGTTCTTTACTAAAATTCTCCCTGAAATCTAAGTATCGGCACAGGTACCCTAAACAGGAGAGGAGACGTAACATCTCGGAAGCAGCCAAATTTCTCGTTTGTTTTGCCCAAAGCCTTAATTTCCTGCAAAACCCAACTACTTGCATGGTAATATTATCAGGGCTTGTCTGTTTAAATTGTGAGAATGTTAATTGTAGGTCCTTCTATTTTTTTTCATTCTAAATTAGACTTTTTGTTGTTTATTTTGTTCTAATCAAACTCTTATAGTTTGATCTATTAAATACATTAATTTATGAGGGTTGAAATCCTTAAATTTTTTCTATTTAAAAACTAAATTAAATATTTTATTAAAATATTATATAACTTAAGAACTAATTACATAACTTTTATAACTTTATATAATTAAGTTACCTTTCTAAATATATTTTTATATACAATTTTTTTAAAAAAATAAAAGCATGAACACAGTATTAAATCAAATTTTCATTTTACTATTTTTGGTTAAAAGTATCAAATCAAAATTTCTATAAATTTTGAAAGTGTTTTTGTTATGGAAAAGTTCATTATTCATTAATAATTGTAACTTTCAGAAACTAATATATTTAATTAATTAAACTATAAGGGTTTGATTAAAATAAAATAAATTACATGAACCGAATTCAAAATTGATGATAGTTAAAAGGACCCACAAATTAATTTTTTCATGAAATGATCACTTATTTTGTAAAAAGAAATTTATTTTATAAAATTTTATCATATTTGTTTATATGAAGAAAACCAGAATCTGCAAAAGCAAAAAACAAAAAGAAAATAGTTTTAATATGACAATAATCTGATGCGATAAATAAAAAGGAATGTTATAAAAATACAGAGATAAACAAAAAATAATGTACAATTTTAAAATAAATATTATGAAATAAAATTTAATTAAAATGATATTTTATAGTTTAGACTTCTAAAAATAATAAAAAAACATATAATAAACTATAAATTTTCCAAGAAGTATGGCAAGTTTTCTCTACCCCCACCAAAAAATAATAATAATAATAACACACGCACAGAGAGAAAGAAGCATGGCAAGTCGAACAAAGCTACCTCGCACGGATAGAGCAGTTGTTTACTCGTCCGGCCGATGTATGCTCAATGCCATGAGATTCTCCGCTTGTTAATGTTAGGCTAGAAAGCTAAACTGTCTGCATTTATTCAGCATACTCGAGAAATGTATAGCTGACTAGAAAGTCCCACTGTCTCGGCGTGGATGCATGATGATATTTCATATTTGAATTCAATTTTAATTTCAAAGACGCAGACCAGCCCTCCAGAGCATATATCAACTTTTCATACTATAGTAATCTTTTTTGACCAGAATTTTTATATTGTATAATCTAGTACTATTGGATCGGATTTAAATTAATATATCAACTTATATTATGTAAATGAAGACTAAATTGATACAACAACAACAACAACAACAACAACAACAACAAGCCTTTATTCTACTAGGTGAGGTCGGCTACATGAATTGCAACACGTCATTGTGTTCTATCGTTTATTAAACTTTTAGAAATATTATTAATTAGGAGATCGCGTTCAACAACTTCCAAGAGTGTTCTCTTAAGCTTTCCTCTACTTCTCTTAATCGGACTCAAAGTTATATGTTCCACTCTTCTTACTGGTGCCTCCCTTGGTCTTCTTTGTACATGCCCAAACCATCTCAACCGATTTTCTACCATTTTTTTCTCAATAGGTGCCACCCTCACTTTTTCGCGGACGTGCTCATTTCGAATTTTATCTTTACGTGTATGTCTGCACATCCATCGTAACATTCTCATCTCTGTTATTCCAACTTTATACTCTTGCTGTCTCGTTAGAGCCCAGCATTCACTACTATATAACATTATCGGTCCATTAGTAATGTGATAAAACATGAAGACTAAATTGATATTGGCAAAAATAAAATAAGCAGTAGACTTCCGTATCAAAAAAAAAAAAAAAAAAAGAGATTGTAGTATGATATGTTGATCGTATCATTCACAAATATTTCTCAATTGGAAGCCCATTTAGTCTAAGCCCATTCACAAATATTTTACTTTAATTTAATATCTCAAAGACGGGCCTTCTTCCAAGATATAGAAAAACAAAAATTCGTGAAAAAAATAATTTAAAGCAAAAATTGTCACCACGAGAGACTGAATGAAATAACATTTAAAGGGCACGAGGGCAGAGGATAGGGACGAAATCACCTTTTGTCCCCCAAGGAAATTGATTTGCAGTTTTGCACGCATCAATATTTTTGTATACTAAAACAAATAACATTTATTGTGAAGTCATTAAACTTCTTTATGATGTTTATTAACATTAATGTTAATATGTATCAAGTTTCCACTCCCTTAGAATTTTTCCTAGTTTCGGATCAGTCAGGGCCCCATATAAGCAATGAATTTGGTCGTTGGATGGACAGTTAACATTGATGAGCCCCAAAGTTGTTGCCTGGACGTGGATAGAAAATATGGAAAATGTGCAAAGCCTGGACGTGGATAGAAAATATGGAAAATGTGCAACAAGACAATTATTGCTGCAACCTGTATTCACATGGCATGGGATGCAATGTGATTTATGTTTGAATATTTTTTTTATTGAATAATATGATATTTTGCTCAATAATGATGGCGTTCTTGTAGTTGTAGGTGTCCGGGCGGTTCATGACTGCCTTCTCTATTGCGGTCCTACTGCAAGTGTGCTGCTTTCTTTTTCTCATAACTGCCTTCTCTTGGTTTTTTTTTTTTTTTTTGTCTTTCTTATTAGACAGTCAAAAAATCTGTTCCTAACCTCAGCGTCCTTTTTTAAATCCTCAGTAATTCCTGTCACCAGCGGGCCATGGCGCCCCATACTTTACTTTGCTCCCTTCTGTTTTGTACGAATTGATCACTAGGGTTGTCTACAGTCAGTGAAAGAGATCGATTAGATAAGTAACTTGAAGAAGCTTTCCCTTTGTCAACACGGTTAGAGCATGAAATTTTGCAGCTTACAAAGAAGATTCTGTAGTTCTGAAAATGTCTTTGATTTGCAGGTGAGATACAGGATAGCTATGCACAAGCCGAGTTTTGACTTTGGATCGTGCTTTCATCTTTTTTCTTCATCAACTCAATGAAAGCGTATTTCTTGTCGCAGGTTTCAGCAAGAATAAGGGATTTTTACCTCCTCTTTTGCATCTAATAATATTATCATTCCGTGGTAATTACTAATGACCGGCGTTACTAGTGACTTATACTTCTTTATTACTTCCTATCCCTAGCATTCTCAAGACATGGGTGCCTGCAACCTACATTGAATAAATTCTTATCCTAAAAAGTGTCACTGTCATAAGCAAGCTCGTATAGAGTTAAGTGCTGTATATACAACAACAACAACAACAACAACAACAAGCCTTTATCCCACTAGGTGGGGTCGGCTACATGGATTGCAAGACGCCATTGTGCTCTATCATTTATTAAGCTTTTAGAAATATTATTAATTAAGAGATCACGTTCAACAACTTCCAAGAGTGTTCTCTTAGGCCTTCCTCTACCTCTCTTAATCGGACTCAAATTTATATGTTCCACTCTTCTCACTGGTGCCTCCCTTGGTCTTCTTTGTACATGCCCAAACCATCTCAACCGATTTTCTACCATTTTTTCCTCAATAGGTGCCACCCTCACTTTTTCACGTATGTTCTCATTTCGAATTTTATCTTTACGTGTATGTCCGCACATCCATCGTAACATTCTCATCTCTGCTACTCCAACTTTATGCTCTTGCTGTCCCGTTAGAGCCCAGCATTCACTACTATATAACATTGCCGGTCTGATAGCAGTACGATAAAACTTTCCTTTAAGTTTATTAGGCACCTTACGGTCACAAATAACTCCTTTAGCTTTTCTCCAATTAAACCACCCAGCTTGAATTCTATGTGAAATATCTCCACTGATTTCGCCATCATTTTGGATAATGGCTCCCAAATATCTAAACTTTTCCACTTGAGGTATAATTTGATCTCCCAATTTCACTTCCAAATTATTTTCGAATAGTCCTTTATCAAATTTACAACATAAATATTCCGTCTTACTTCTACTCAGACGAAAACCTTTCGACTCCAATGTCCTCCTCCATAACTCAAGTTTGCAATTAACCTCTTCTCTTGTCTCTGCTATAAGAACTATATCATCCGCGAAGAGCATACATTTCGGGATTTCCTCTTTAAGTGCTGTATATACGCAGGGAAAATTTAGGGACTGACTGGAATATTTATGAACTTGAGTGTGTTAGTGGATGCAACCTGTTTATGATTATATTTTATCGCAGTTGCATTCTGTGACTAGTTTGCTTTACTTTGACTTAGCTTTTGCCACATTTCTAAACAGCAGGTCCTTGTCTCTCATCATTTTTGCTTTATAGATAGCAGAATACCAAAATTCCAACTAGAACATGAACATTACAGCAACACGTTCTTGTAAAGAAGAGGGTATTATAGGCAGGGAAGACATTGGAACTTCATGGCTTAATACTGGTGTAAGTTTGATGCTAGAAATGGGGTTGGCCTGTTGGTGTGGTCATGTCAAGCAACCACTTGTAACGTTACAAGGCTGTGGAAATAACTCCTTTATAGCTGCATTCTCTAATTTCTCCATTATTTCGAAGGCAGCAAACAATGGAGGTTATCTTGCAGTTCTTTGTTTAGATTAGAGGTTTACAGTAGATTTTTTTTCCTTCAAATCCGTTTCATCGCAATCATGTTTTCAATTCGGAAATCTTTAAAGCAAATTTTTCTTGTTTACAGAGTTATCCAACAGATGATGAACTTTTTTTGAGTTCAGATGGCACAATGGACGGTCGTGTGATTGCTAAGATTGCATGCAGCAAACTCTATAGATGAAAAGTAAAGTATATGCTGGGAACGTAGGGCATACTTGATACTTGAAATAAATGATTCCTGCTCAACTACACAGCTATGCTTTTGAAAAATTCAAGCTCAGTTGCAAGTTTGTCTGGGATAAAGATCATGAGTTAGTTTAGCAACCAACTTAGCTGAAGAAGTTCCCTAACCTGAGTGTGGCGAATTCTCAACTAATGTGGTCGATACAGTGATTGCAGTGTTTATACCTGACTGGGGAAGGGCAAGGCAGTTACCTGATCCCGATACAGATTTATTACAGACTGTCTCAAATATGCCCATTACCATCGAGCTTTTCATCAGATCCCCAAAAGGCAGCCGTTTTCAAATCATCCTGAGACATCAGTCTGCTGAACTCCTCATGATTATAGTTCAATATGGCTTTTCCACCAAATACAGTAGGAAGATTTTCCTCGTCAAAGTACGACTTCATGAGATCCACGCTATCTTTGTTTTTGGGATAGACGAACTTCACTTTTTGAAATGTCTTGGTATCCAGGAAATACTTGACAATCTGCATTTACAGACGACTAATTAAGGAACCTTATCCAGGAAATACTTGACAATCTGCATTTACAGAAGGATAATTAAGGAACCTTAGCGCTAAAATGCTGTCAATAATAAAAATGATGCACAGGCTATATCACTCGAGTGCTTTCTAGTTATGGTAGCAATTAAGAGGTCTCAGTTCTAATAACCAGCAGGACAGGAAAAGCCTCTAGCACTTCATGTGTTGTATTTAAAGTGAAGGCAGTAAGTGCAAAGATTGAACCTTCCAAAAAGCTTCAAAAATTCGAGGGGGATTGTAAAGAAATGCTATGGCGAGCCTCTCAGGATAGTGGTTCTGTAGAATGTTGATGGTCTCTCTGGCTGATTTGACGGGCACGCTGTTGCTCAAAGACCAGCCAGTGAAGTCTATCAACCAAGCCATTTGTTCCTGACCTTGTGGAAGGTCAAGGGTAGCATTTTCCAGAAGATACACCAGATGCCGCATCTGATTCTCAATGGACGACGTGTTCTGCAACACCTTCCAGCCCGTCAGATGTTCTGTTTTAATACCCATGAAGGCTCAAAATATTTATTCAACTACAGTACCTGCATTCCGGGTCTTAATATAAGAACTCGTCTTCCTTGTCGGTCATGAAAACCTGCTTTGTACAACTTCCCTGTCTCCCCTTCCACCGCAACCTCGTGCTGGGAAATGTAATTGAGTGTTTCAGACCAATCAACACACTGGCCCACGAAAAAGAGGAATTCACACGACTTACCCATCGGATTTCCTCAGGCTTGTAGGTTGATCTCCACCTAAGCGTCTCCTCCAACATCTTCTTGGACTTGTCCACATTCCAGTTTCGAGCTTCCAAATATCTCTTCAAACAATCATCAGTGCAGTACTTCAAGCTGCATCCAGATAAGGGTCCAATTGCAGCCCTGAGCTCTTTAATCTGGTAATACAATATTATGTAATAGAGTTAGGATTACATTATGCTGCAGAGCTTTAATCCAGGAGTAGCGAGAAACCCCACAAAAAAAACAAGAAGAAGAAAGAAACAGGTTCAATTCCAATTTCTAGGTCTCATCGTCCTCAAAGAGACATTTTATTGAAACTTGTTGAATATGAGGTCTATCCCATATCACCAAATAAAGCTTCAATGACAAAGTAAGCCGGATAAAGTATGTGAATTACAATTTGACGATTCGTTACCTTCGATTCAACATGAAGCTCATTGTTTTCCTGGCCCTGCTGGGAATTGTTTCTGCGATGGAACATGGTAGCCGAAAATTCCTGTACCCGAAGCCTTTACACTCGAGAACTAAAAAAGCTAGTGCTGTTTTGCACAACTAATCTCTACCGCTCAGATAACCGAAAAAACATAATTAGATAAATAAAAGAAACCATGAACTGAAATGAGACCGCATAGAAAGCATTCAGAGATCGCGAAGCCACGTGTAGCAAAGTCAATACGTACCCAATAGAACAGATCTGTCGAGATAGAGATAGTCGAAAACGAGGAGAAGGCAAATGGAACAATTTCATATCATACATCGCCACGAAATCACACACAGATTGTGGCAAACAAGAGCATCAGGAAAAACATAAAAAGGGATAATGGGCGAGTTTAGAGGAGAAATAACCTGAGAATGAGGAACGCAGCTTCGCGTTCTTCCAACTGTGCCACAGCTTTTGTGAGTGTGAGCGAGCCACTTTTTCAAAATGAGGCAATTGCAAATTTATAATTGATCACTCATTGTTCGCACCGGGAAAAGGGCGGTGAAATTAGAAGGGAAATAGTTTATAAAATGTAGAATAAATGATAGGGCTTTATGAATAGTGGGTTTTTTTTTTGTTATTTAAATATACATATCGATAATTATAATTTAAATATTTTAAATTTAAAATATTCTTCTGAATTACAAATAATATTAGTTTTACCTTAATTTAAAAAATTATGATTAACATTACTAAATAGTCACAAGTATAAAAGTAAAATTTGTAAAAGGATTGCACTCTTTAGAATAATGCTATTTTCCTTTTATTCTTCCAATTATTCTTGCAAAAACTCCACTTATCCGGATTGTGAAAAAACATAGAGCGCATGAGTCATGATAATAAATACAATAAATCAACATCTTACCCGGAAAAAAAAAAAAAGCTCATCTAAAATCCTTCTGCAAATAAAGTTAAATGAAAAAAAAAAGTGTTTAGTTGTTTTTTTTTTTTTTGGCCAAAGAAAAAGTGTTCAGTTGTTGCTTACAACTTAAAAGGTAGTAAGCATCAGATCCCGCTCCGTTCGGATGCCGTTGCGACCCTACCATATGAGTAAACTCCGAGAATTACTGCCAAGTGCCAAATACCAACACCCCAAGCGCAGATATTTTATAGTTTCCAAACCTCCAAAAGGCACAATAAAAGGAAGAATTAATTTAATTAAACTGCACATAAAAAATTATAAATATTTTAAAATTTAATTATGAATTAATGTTATCCCTCAATTTTATTATCACTTTAATGTTAAAAATATTCAACATCCATTATTTATCAATAAATGTCACTATTTTTGATATTTTTATCAAGTTAAATTATTTTTGCCTTCAACTTCTATTCAAATGGTCATTTTTATCTTTAAATTTAAATATGTTATAATTAAAAAATTTAAAAATATAATGTGAAGCTCACTAATAATCAACTAATTATGAAAAAGTAACAAGGTAATAATAGAATGAGGTAATAATAGATGAAATTTTTAAAATTAAAAAATAAAAGTAATCCATGATTAAGTTTAGGAACGTTTGTAATCTTTTATGAATAATTTAAAAATAAAAATAAAAAATGAGCCTTAATCTTAAAAGCAATTCTTTTAAAATAATTTAAACATATCACCATAAATTTGAAATATTACCTTTTCAAAGCAACTAGGGTAGATTTACTGCATGATGTGAGGTTTAAAAAGTTATTCATAATTGTATAAAAAAAAAGTTTTTCATAAAACTTATAAGTCACGTGATTTATTAGAATTCATGAATATATATAGATTATTCTTAAGTTTCGTGCATTGGGTAATAGGGGTGTTCATAGGTTCGATTTGGTTTGGTTTTGGGCAAAAACCAAACTGAATCGAACCATTCGGTTTACTGATAATTGAGACCTGATCGATTTTTATGAAGTTCGGTTTGGTTTGGTTTGGTTTTATTTTTGGTTTGGTTCGGTTTAATTAAGGTCTTGATCAAGTTTTAATGCACTTGTTTAATTTTTTTTCCTTTTCTCCATCTTCATAATGGTGCTATGTACTAAAATTAAATTTAATTCTTTTTGACTCCTTTTTTTTCATAAATAGAGGTATAAAAATATAATAAAATTTCAATGTGATAACAATAATTAATCATAAAAACTGATATAAGTTTTTAAGATTAAAATTATTTAATATTATGTATTTTCATTAAAATCTTTTGAAAATATTTATCTATATATCTATATTTTAATAAATAATAAAAAACTTATTATACAAAATTCAAAACAAAATATTTCTTGTAGATAAATTGAATGCTGAGGCTTTTAGGTTATAAATAATTAAATGATGATCATAGCATGATTATTATAATCACTTAATATTATGCATTTTCATTCAAGTATTTTAAAAATGTTTATTTATTACTATAAAAAATTTAAAACAAAATGCTTTTTGCAGATAAATGGTTATATATTTTACAAATAAATAAATAGAATTTTTTTAATCAAGTTTGGTTCGGTTTTTTGTACTCAAAAACGAACTTGAACCGAACCAATTGGTTTTTATATCATAAAAACCGAAGCGGACCTGATTGTTGTTCGGTTTTGATCGGTTTTTATCGGTTTGGATTGGTTTGGATCGGTCCTTTCAGTTTAGATCGATTTTTTTGAACACCCTTATTGGGTAAGGCGTTAGAGCCTTATCAACGCCACAAGAAATTTCACGGATCAGAATCGTTTACAATTCACGGACAACGAAGATGTGAGTTGAACTCAATTGATGACTGTTACTTGTATTATTTTGTCTCGGCCATAAGGTTACGATTTTCTAATTTTTATCCGAGATGCTTCGTAGAGTTATTAATATTATCAAATATCTGTTTCCAAATGATCATTTTCTTTAAATAAAAATTATTATTTACCAACATTTGTTAATTCTAGTGAAAGAAGTCATGGCTACTTAAATTTAAGGTTTTAAATTTGAATTTATGTGAATGTAAAAAGAATTTTGAGAGAATTATCTTTAATTAAACTTGACGGTATTCAAATATGTCCCATTTATTACTATATCAAAAAAATATTATCTTTCCGATAAATATTAAAAATTTAACAAATTAATATATTGAATTTGTATAGAGGGTAACAAACGAGAAAATTTAATTCTAGACCCCGCTTGCACATTATACAAATGTTAAGAGGGAAAATTTTCTCTCTTCTTCATTAAGGCACCATCTGATGTGAACAATAACAGCGAGAGAGAGAGAAGGTGGTGGTCATGCATTAGCCAATAGGTTATTAAGTTTTACTTACACTAACTTTTACTCCAACAATTTCATGACAGCATTTATTAAGTTTTGATGATAAATTTAAAATGTATTAAACTATTAATTGCATTTTCTAATGTATATACACATGTTTTAAAAATTTTATATTTCATTATTTTGAAAGGAATGGAGTATTTAATTATTAAATCTATTAAATACAGTAACCTGACATGAAGCACTTTGCTAAGCCAAAATTTGGGGTCATGAAGAAATACTTAAATAAATCGAGTGCATTACATTATTTATGCTTTATTCAATTAAAATGTTCTAACTAATTTAAATAAATTAATGTGTGATTTTTTTAATTGATTTTATTTTTATAACAGAAAGTACATTTAATATCTTATTTTCCCTTTCATTGTTATCATTAATATCAAAATTAATTTATATTTAATATTATATAAATATTATATTTTTATTGAATAGACCACAAATGATGTGGTGCATCCAGTCTACTTAAATATTTATCTATAAAGGGGAAACGAGAAAGCTAATTATGCTTATTATATACGTTAGATTATTACAAATATATATATATATATATATATATATATATATTATGTTAACATGTGTGTGTGTGTGTGTGTTAATATAACTTGAGATCAAAACTAAACGAAACTTCCGATTTAGTCAAGTTTTGGATTTTGTTAATCCTTTTCTTGTTGTTACTGCCGAGCACGGGCACATTTGGTGGTAAATCCGTTTCAGATGTTGATGGACAACAACAAACAATCTCCAAAGGAATTAGTTTCAGCATTATTCATGCACGATCAACGTGCCGATGGAAACGCCAATTTGAGGGCTGACCTAGTCACTCCGGTTATAATTATGAGAGTAATAATAATGATAATAACTAAGCCAAACTAACCTGTACATGTGAAAAATAAGCAAGCCCGGCTCATAAGAACCCTAACTCTTGAGCCTAGTTTTTAAAAAATTATCTGTTTTTAAAGCTTACCCTTTATTTAAAAGGTTAAGAGATGGGCTTTCCAGTTTTATTTTTTTGAAAATATTTAAAAATAAAAAATTTAATAAAATAAATAAATATAAATTTAGATATAGAATCTTGATCAAATTTTAAAATAAAGAGAAAAATCTTCAATTAAGATCAACTTTATGAAATTTGATAAATACAAAAAATTTGATATCATAAAGTATAACATTAATCAAAATCAAGAAATACACCTTATAAATTAATTGTGTTTTAAAAATGAGTAAAAAATTTGTTAATATCATGTCAAAAATAAATGGCAAAAGAATTAGTATCAATGGTTTTAACAACACAATACTTAAATTAACATCAATCTTTCGAGAAACAAGATTTGGAAGGCCGCTCATTTTTTAAAGCCTTTCAAGGTAGGGCCTCAAAGCCCGACTACTCTATAGTTAGCTCTCATTTTTCACTCTACTAACTTGCGATTCTGGATGGGACTGGCTCATTACCACAAGAGCCTGAGGTTCGTTGTTTTTCACGTTGAAGACTTTAAGTGCTTGGTGGCAAGTTCAAGAGCTGGTGGCTATTAAACTAAAAAAAATAAGGAATCGCTCAAGAAGTTTTTGATTTTAAAAATTTCATTACACTTTTGAAAAGTCTTTAAGATGTAGTAATATTTTAATGTGTCACTGTTTAGAAAACATGGCGGGCATCAAGGTGCAATACCAAGAAAATGGGGCAAGAGAAGCTTCCAATTTATCACGCTACACAAATTGCACTCCACCCATTTCCATTTGAATGGAAGGAAGATGGTTCCACGTGAAGATCGACGCAATTACACAGAGAACCAAAAGGACTTTAATTTCCATCATAGTGAATAGTGACCGATCGTGGTCCCGTTTTTTCCCATCGCACAACACACAGAATATTGTCATGTCTCGTGCTTCATAATTTCTTTTGAAGAAGGGAGTCAAGTTTCTATTGCTGGATTTCTCCTTTTGACTGCTCAACAACCCAATTCAAATTTTGGGCAAACCTTATTCTCTGTATTTGGCAAGGGATGGACACAGTAGTGAGTGGATATATGCTATGGATCAATACAAAATGAACCAAAAAACATAATTATTACTATGCCTACACTCGTATATTTTGTACTCTACTTCTTAAAATGGGACCATGCACGAAAAAAACATGGCTGAAAGTAAAAACACAACGTGC